CAGCTATAACAAACTGGAAGCAAAATGAGATTAACTTAAAAAGCTTGAAATATTCTAAGGATTACAGTGTGTCAAGCTTTGAATTGTTCTGCAGGTTTTTCCAGGTTGCAGGTGCACAGTGAGTTAAAGTGCTTTTTCCAAGTTCAGCAAAAACAACTATCACCTGCAATGCTGTAGGCAGCAATAAAGTTATATGAGGGGTTAAAGGACCAGTAAGGGCCTCATACATAGATAAAGCTCAGTGTCTACCACACCTTACACAGCTTGGGGGCCACCCAGCCTTAGCCTGCAGCTCACAGTATTATATAGACTATTGTAATTATGACCAGTAATTAAACATTATGCAGAATAATAAACAGTGTCCAAAATGTCATCACAACCCCGTACTGATAGAAAGGTTACCTCAATAATAGGAAAGAAAAAAGGAAGTTCTCATACACAAATCTGTTTTCAGTTGTTGGTCATTTTCTCTCATCTTTTGGTGAGATATCGGATCAATGGAACATTTATTGAAATGAAACCATGTAAGGAGTTTAGAAGAAAAGTCAGTATTTGCTGGAGCTGCTAGCATCTCATAAATATCTGAAATGTGACCCCGACTCCACACAGAAAGGCAAGAAAGCACTAGTTTAACCTTTCACAGTCTGTTGCATTTAAAACACTTGTCATGTTACGCATTGTGAAAAATCTTCATCTTAAAACTTATTAGAGCTGCCAAATAAATGTCGTGGAGTAGAAAGTACAATACTACCTTCTCAAATGTAGCAGAGTGAAACTATGAAGTAGCATTAATTGGAAATACTCAGAGTACAAGTATCTCAGAGTAGTGGTAGATGTACTTTGTTACTTTCCACCACTCCCACCAAAGTAGTGTGTGTGAGCCCTGGGTGCCGTTGGATATGACGTGTAAAATAAATAAACATTTTTATTGATGTCCAATACATACACCTTTGATTGGAGTAAATGTAACTAAGTGCATTCATTTAAATAACTGAAGCAATTTCTACCAATTACTGCGAGAAATAATCCATTGTATACATAAACTACTCTGAAATATATCATTTTGCAAGGTGCACTTCCTTTAGTGTAGCTTTACTACATTTTTCTACTTTTTACCTGCAGCAGAGATTTTCACATCAAGGTTTCAGTGCATACATAGTGTTTCCCCTGTTTTGTTTTCATTCTGAATCTACTGCAAAATTACTTCTTTTTTAGATTCAGTTAGCAGTGAAAATGTCTTCTCATTCACATTATACCTACAGGAAAGCTGTATATCAGCAGAATAGCTGTCTGTAAAAATGAAAAGAATCGGTGCAAATGTGACTAAAAGAACAGTAGAAATGGTCATAAAACATGTTATATAAAGTCCCAAAATTGTCCAACAAAAACAAAAAGTGAGATGTGCAAAAATTTGTCTACTTTTATTACCTTCTTTCAACAAACAGGATCCAATCTGATCTGCAGTCTTTGCAAATATACACAAAATCAAACATATAACTGTGAAATATGTGTAAGAAGGACATGTGTAAAAAATAAACATACAAAAATGATTTCCAAAGGCACTGTCAAAAACTACGTGGCAAGGTGATGTGAAATATATACGAATTTCACTGTAAGCATGTCGGAAAACAAGATCCTAAATACTGAAATGGCACTGACATTCATGAACGATACATACAAAACTATGATCGGAATATAGCTGCAAGCAGCAATAAAGGGACCAAAACGGTTCAGCGGGGAACAGTCACCACGGCAACATGATCTGATTATCTTAAGCACTGATTGGAAAAATGAGTTTTTGCTAGTTGCAGCGCCGCACAGTGGTGAAATTATGCAAGTTTGTTTGGACAACTTCACAAAGTTTGGTGTCAATATATGAAATGGTTATTGAGATATGACCTCACATGCTATTTGATGATGATGTTACCAAAATGAACTGGCTGTACAATAATTATTTCAGGCAAAAGCAGCCATAGTTATAAAACAAATCGTCCACTTTCTTATTGCAGCCCCCCCTAGTGGTCAAATGAAGCAAAACAATTTGTGCTTCCTGGACGTGGGGATCCTGAGTCTATGTGGCAAGTTTGTTTGGGATAGATCAAAGTGTTGATGAGATATGACCTCATGTTGTGTTTGGCAGCTTTCTATTGATTTTGATTAACTGTGACAGACGAGATGGAGGTTTTCATGATCTCACCATCATAAGTCCATATGAGAAGTTATGTGAGGCTCAAACCGAAGACAATCTGTGCAAATTCTGGCAAAATTGTGGCCGGTGAACAATGACCAAACATCCCAAGATACTTTGAACTTGATCCTTATGATACGTCATTTTTGAAAATCGGGCATGTGGTTTAAATGAATTGTACATAAATGTAGCTCCAATTTTGACCTATTGGTGGCGCTGCAGTGTTCGAGACATAAAAGAATCAGGGGACCGTCACCAATCAGTGAGCCAAGTTTGGTTTTCCACAACAGTTCTCCGGCAGAACAAAGATGATGATGAAGATGAATAAGAAAAGGCACAAACATAATGAGTGACTGTGCAGCTTTACTG